TTCCTCACAGGCGGAGTGCATTTGGGATCACTTGGCCTGTTACAGGAGCCGGCGCTTTAGAGGAGGTATCGGTTTATGCAGCTCTGTTCCCTCCGGTGCCGCCTCGCTTCCTCTAGCGCTGGCTTCATTGGCACCACTGATTCTCTCTCCCGCGGCTCTTCAAGTTCCCCCTTATGCCACCACCGGCCGCGGGAATGGTTACAACTAGGGATGCACCGATACCACTTTTGATCAAGTACTCGCAGATACCAATTACCGATACTTTTTCTTAAAGGGACAGGTCAAATTTTTTCTAAAGCAATACAAACTAATGCTTTAAGGTCACTTTCTTTATATTATGATTCATGAGAGGACGAGGGAGCAGAATGCCGTGCGCTGCGTGATTACACGACACCCGGGTTCGGAATTTGCTAGCTTCCTGACCAATTGGGAAGCCGGGCAGCTAGTCATTGCATGCTACCCGGCTTCCTGATTGGCCGGGAAGTCGGCTCCATGCTCTCTCATCACAAGTGACGAGAGCATGGAGCCGTTTCCTGGCCAATCAGGAAACCGGGCAGCGTGTAATGATGCGCTGCCCGGCTTCCTGATACAGGAAGTACTCGTGCTAGGTATCGGAGCATTTGGGCGAGTACGAGTACTCACCCAAATACTCGGTATCGGCACCGATACTAGTATCGGTGCATCCCTAGTTACAACTAGGTCTTATTTTTGGGGTAGGTCTTATATTCGGGGAAACAGGGTACTATGTGAATATGCACAAGTATCCAATTTCGACTACGCACACAGGTATCCAATGTTGATCATGCACAAAAGTATCCAATATTGACCATACAAAAGTGTATTTTTTAATTTACAAGCTGTTCTTCCACGATATCATTGAGATTGCCATAAATGTTTTGTTCAATGCGTAGACGGTTCAGTACATGAAATACGTTAACATAATAAACGATTACAATAAACGAAGTAGATATGTAATACCGCTCAATCTTTACATTTTTCATACAACTGTAAACCATACCATTATACACACTGACTGTGCCATAGAACCCAAATGGACAGGTAAGGAATGTTGTTCAGTCCAAAAAATCTCTGTGATCAAGCCAACATTTAAACAATTTGGCTGCTGTCATAAGGATCATCAGGTCATACAGAGCAAATTCTAAATTGGTGTAAACATGATATAGGTTTATTGGGAACCAAACTGGAATCTGAGGACCCATTTTTGGGGCAACGGTAGCTCAGATTAATTGAACTGGAGGGATCACCGTTCAGAACTCCACAACAAAAAGGCAAAGCTAACCAAAAGTGTACACAGAACAATGGCAAACCAGAATTAAAATGCCACTCTTCCATTAATTTGGAAACCCAACACATCCCTCCCCAATACCCTAAAACAGACAACTGGGAAGCTAGAAAACTCTAAGTGTAATTTAGGTCCTGACTCAGAGGTTTCCTTTACCTAGGACTCAGAGGGGCTATATTTTATACCTGTGCCCCATAGTTGATAGACTATAATTTGCTTAAACATTTTTTATGATAGAACAATTACAAGCGTATTTAATTAAAAGGGCAATAAACAGTGGCAACCAATCAGAATTCCCCTTGCTGCCAAGTGAATCTGACTAGCTACTACTCCCAAGTTTGGCTCTTTGCACTTACTGAATAGGTAAGTGTATACATAGCATTTTTAAGGTCTGTTGACCAAGAGACCCTTACATAGTTACATAGTATTTGGGGTTCTTTTTACTATCTGCAGCGATATGCTTTTCGTACTCTGTTTTTGCTGCCCGGATGTCTAGTTTGCATTTTTTGTTACATTCTTTGTAGTTAAGGAACGCCAATGCCGTCCCCTCCGTCTTATATTTTATAAATGCCGCTCTCTTGTCCTTGACGTGTTGTTTTACAGTTTTATTAAACCATATTGGTTTAGTCTTTGATCTTTTATTTTTGCTCCCTAATGGTATACACTTTGATATAGCAGTATGTAGTGTGTTTTTAAAACAATCCCACATCTGGTCTGTGTTTAGGTTTTGAAATAAGTTTTCCCATAAAAAGGCATATGAAGGAAACAAAAAAACAATTCTAAACCCTCTTCTGGTTTTGCACCTAGGTATATTACAGTTGTCCCAGCTCAAAGCCAAAGGACTTCAAACCATGTATCTCAAGGCCGGACAAAATCCAAGTAACCAATATTCCTTAAAAATTACAGCTGCCACCTAGGCTTTTCTCTCTACTTATTGCCAATTGAGCTGGCTCCTAAAAAAAAAACCCAAAAAAACCCTGCTGGTTCCTGGATTGGAGGGACTGGCTCCTCAATTCCATGGGGGGATTCGGAGTAAACTGACAGCAGAGGTCTCCATAAGGCTAAACACTGACAATGGCATGAAGAGCTCTAACCGTGGAGTGCAGTCAGTGGACAGCTTAAATAGTCAGGATTTCTACCTAAGCCACAAAGTAACAAGAGGACTGTGTCAAAAAGCTGACAATCTACAGGCTGCCAGAGTAGGGCAATATCTGAGAAAGGAAGTAAACAAATGGTTGTCGAATTCAGATTAAGAATTTCAAGCTTTCAGCCATGCCAATCTATTGGCTTCTGCAGCCTCTTTTTGGGGTCTATGATAATCTGACAGCGGAAGTCCCTTCAAGGATAAACACAGACACTGGCATAAAGAGCTCCACCATGGAGTGCAGTCAAAAGTGACAAGATGAGGACTATCACAAAGAGCCGACAGTCTACAAACTGCCAAAGTAAAAAGGTGTGCAATCTCTGAGATGGGAAACCAAACAAATTCAGGTTTTTAAATCTCACGTCTTCCACCATGCCAATCTATTGGCTTCTGGAACCTCTTTTTGTAGTGTGCGTCACTCTACTGGCTTTAGGTACCAGTTATTGGAGTGCTATGGCAAACCGACAGCTGAAGTGTTCATAAGGCTAACACTGACAAAGACCTCCAACATGGAGCTCCATCAGTGGACAGCTCTGCAGATCCAGGACTTCCCTGCATGTCACAAAGCGACAAGACAAGGACTGTGCCACAGAGCTGACACTCTACAGGCTGCCAGAGAAATATCTGAGTCAGGAAGCCAAACATAGGTTTTAGAACTTGCCAATCTATTGACTTCTAGTGCCTCTTTTTGGAGTGGTATGGTCAACTGAGCGCTGAGGCCTCCGAAAGGCTGGATTGGATCCAGGATAAGGATTTCAGAAGCTCGGGTTTTCTTCTATACCAATCTATTGGTTTCTGCTATCTCCTATTGGAGTGCAATGGCAAACTGACAGCTGAGATCTCTACAAGACTGAACACTGACATAACAAGATCCATCAGCAGACAACTCTACGGCTTCCCCCATCTCACAAACTGACAAGACAAGGACTGTGCCACAGAGCTGACAATACAGGCTGCCTGAGAAAAATCTGAGTCATTAAACCAAACATGGTTCCAGAATTAGATTTCAGAGCTTCTACACCATGCCAATCTATTGGCTTCAGGTACCTCTTTTTGGAGTGCTACAGTAACCCGACAGCTCAGGTCTCTAAAAGGCCGTATTGGTCTCTTGGGTCCATTGGACCTCTTACTGAGGTGCTTTGGTAAAGTGACAGTTCAGGTCTCTAACGCCAAATTGGTACCAGGATTAAGTTTCGGAAGCTCAGATTTTCCAATCTATCGCCTTGTGTTACCTCTTATTGGGGTGCTATGGTAAAGTGACAGCCAAGGACTCTGGGGTCTATTGGACCTCTTATTGGGGTGCTCTGGTAAAGTGACAGCCAAGGTCTCTGGGATCTATTGTAACTCTTATTGGTATGCTATGGTAATGTGACAGCCAAGGTCTCCAGGGTCTATTGGACCTCTTATTGGGGTGCTATGGTAACGTGACAGCCAAGGTCTCCGGGGTCTATTAGTCCTCTTATTGGGGCGATATGGTAACATGACAGCCAAGATCTCTGGGTCTATTGGTCCTCTTATTGGGGTGCGATGGTAACATGACAGCCAAGATCTCTGGGTCCTCTTATTGGGGTGCTATGGTAACGTGACAGCCAAGATCTCTGGGTCTATTAGTCCTCTTATTGAGGTGCTATGGTAACGTGATAGCCAAGGTATCTGGGTCCTCTTATTGGGGTGCTATGGTAACATGACAGCCAAGGTATCTGGGTCCTCTTATTGCTGTGCTATGGTAACGTGACAGCCAAGGTCTCCGGGGTCTATTAGTCCTCTTATTGGGGCGATATGGTAACATGACAGCCAAGATCTCTGGGTCTATTGGTCCTCTTATTGGGGTGCGATGGTAACATGACAGCCAAGATCTCTGGGTCCTCTTATTGGGGTGCTATGGTAACGTGACAGCCAAGATCTCTGAGTCTATTAGTCCTCTTATTGAGGTGCTATTGTTACGTGACAGCCAAGGTATCTGGGTCCTCTTATTGGGGTGCTATGGTAACGTGACAGCCTAGGTCTCTGGGGTCTATTGGACCTCTTATTGGGGTGCTATGGTAAAGTGCCAGCCAAGGTCTCTTGGGTCTATTGGACCTATTATTGGGGTGCTAAGGCAATGTGACAGCAGAGGTCCCGGTAATGCGTGCCAACATAAGGACCTCCATCAGCTCTCCGGATGCGGTGCTTCTCTACAATGCACAAAGTGACAGGACAAGGACTGTGCCACAGAGCTGACAATCTACATAGATTCACAAAAAGTAGTTAGGGGGCAGCTTCAGTGACTTCTTCCCAGTCCACAAAGTGACAGCAGAGACTGGACCACAGAGCTGACCATCTAATGGAGAACAGTGATAAAGAGCGGCCCTGCTAGTCACGTCATCCCTCCAGCAGCACAATGCTCTTCAGGCGCCTCCCCCCAACCCGTCCTCCATGTTGCCGTGCTGGGCACAGGCCCGGGGAGAGGGGGGTGGAGTGCCGGTATGAGCCGGTGGCGGGAAGCCTACTCCTCCCCTCCCCTCACCCCCCGTGTTCCCGCGCTCCGGCCTCCATCCCATCCCGCCGCCTCACCTCCGCAGGACATCCCGAATCCTCCGGTCCTCTTCGTGCAGTCCGCCTGGGGTCAGGGTACGGTGCCGATGCCGCCCGTCCTCGGGTAAGGGGCACAAAGGCTCCGTCGGAAGAGGGGTAAAAAATGCCCCGGCCTGGATAAATAATATCCTATCACCCACCGCCGTATACCGTAGGGGGGTGCAGATTGGGGGGGGGGTCGGGTAAATAGGAAATAATAATAGGAATAATAACCCCCGGGCCGCGCC